TGAATTAAAAAATATTATGATATTTATTATTATACATAGATTTATTATAATATTATATAAATGCAAAATAAAGTTAATATTGGTGTAAAAAACATTTATTTGAATTTGACCCTATTTGACCGTATTTGACCATATTTGACCGGTCAAATATCGGTCAATTGACCGAATTGTATTTGACCGGTCAAATGCACAACCCTGCATATCAGTAACTAGGGGCTAGTAGAATTAGGTCGAATTAATTATATTATGCTTAAAAATATGATATAATAAGTATTCATTGGCTATTATAGCTTTAAATACTATTTTTTTCCCTTTAACTTTCACCTTTTCTGGTGGTTGATAATCAAAAGAAATAGAAAAAAAATTAAAAAATTCATTAAAACTTAAACATTTTTAAAATATAATATCACATTTTGAAATTTTTTATGAATTATTTATATACAAATGGTGTATTATTGATAATAACAATTATCCTATAGGAGACTTAATAAACCAATATAATCTACAAGCCTGGGGTTTGGGGCTTGTTGGGGCAAAAATTAACTTTTACTAGAATCAATCATAAAATATAAAATATTAATGAATAGGGTCTTTTGTAAAAAACGACTTAATCTAATTGTTAAAAAAATTAAGTGTACCAAATTCCACATATTTTTTAATAAAATACGAATTTCATAAATAACAAGTGATGTGTTTTAGAGGTAAATAATTTTAAAACGCTACTTTAAATAAATATAGACAATTAAGCTGGTTCTCTGGTTTTTTGGAACTTAATAAATGGGTTAAATATAATTTTGTCAAATATAAATCACTATTGCATTGTGATATTGTTAGTTGTAATGCATTCGCGATATTGCATTCTCTATGATGCATTCGCTGTAATGTATTCGCTCTAATACATTCGCTATGATACATTCGCGATAATATATTCGCTGTAATGCATTCGCTATAATGTTTTCGCGGTAATGCATTCGCTATAATGCATTCGCGCTAATATAATCGCTATAATACATTCGCTATTATGCATTCGCGATAATGCATTTGCGGTATTACATTCGCTGTAATGCATTCGCTATAATGTTTTCGCGGTAATGCATTCGAGCTAATATATTCGCTATAATACATTCGCTATGATGCATTCGCGATAATGCATTCGCGGTATTACATTCGCTGTAATGCATTCGCTATAATATTTTCGCGGTAATGCATTCGCTATAATGCATTCGCGCAAATATATTCGCTATGATACATTCGCTATAATGCATTCGCGGTAATGCATTCGCTATAATATCTTTTCGCGGTAATCGACATTCGCGATAATGCATTCGCGATAATACATTTCGCGGTAAAAGTTTCGCGGTATTGACGTGATACGCAAAAAAATATATCTAACAAAATCTATAAATTATAAAAATAAATTTATAAATAATTGATTCCTTTTAAATAATTAATCTCAAATGAATAATAAATAAATTAATACATATTCAAAATTAAATAACTCCATATTTCAGCCAATAGTCATATCAACTAACGGCAATTTTTCACAGTTTACATACTTTTTTAAAAAAACTTTATCGCGAAAAATTTTTAACATAAACGAAAATCGCGAATCCATATTTCTTAAACAAAAACTTTAACTAGAAATTTTCAAACACAATTATACTTGTTTTTTAGGTACATATTCATTATTAAATTAAGCTCTTTTTAGAGCCTCCGATACTTCGGTTTGATTAAACTGCTGCTAAGGTAAACTGCAAATGCCAAGGTAAACTGCAAATGCTGTAAAAATTTTCTTATATTATCTTTTATTTGTAGTTAGATTCATTTTCCTATGATATAAATAACTAAATTAAATTTTTAGATATATTCAATAATAAAGAAATATACATTTATAGTTGAATTTTCTTTTATCTCATAATAAATCGTTTAAATCTTTTAATATAATTATATTAAAAATATTAATAATTAAATTTTAAATTTAAATAATATTAAATCCGCAAGTTAGCGTGTATTGTTATAAAATACTATTATAAAAAAATATAATCATTTTAAAATGCTATATATCAGAATTTACTCCTAAAACATTAAAGATTCATTTTAATAAGCTGAACTATCATAATACGAAAGTGGAGGGCTATGTATAATATTTAAAACAAAGTCATGCCGGTAAAGTATATTGTTAATATTACTATATAAAATATTATTTTGTGTCAAATGATATTCAATAATACCATATTTATATAATTAGAATCATATTTATATAAATATTTTACATGATGGTATTCATTCATTTATCTTTTTTTACCTCATTTTATACTTCATACCGGGGTTATAAGGTTTGTTAGTATCCTTGAGTAAAAAAATCTGCATAATTATAAGATCACAATCACAATAGATTTTTTTCTAGTCGTCATATATATCTTAATATATTCAATCAGAAATGGATAATCACGTAGGAATATATTTATATTACATGGGTATGTCCTATCTAGATACAGATGTGAAAAAATTAATCTTAGATACAGATACTAGTATTTTTTTTAAAATATCAAAAAGATACTTGCATCTAATTATTATTACCAATTAAATTAGAATAGTTTATAAAATATAGTTTTTATTATTTATTTGTGAAGAACATAACATATTCATTTAGTAAGAATGAATATTTACAATAATTAATAAAATATTTAATGATGAGTTAATATATCAGGCATTTTAATATTACTAATAGCCCATTCTTAGCATAGATAGGGCATACATAGCATTGTACCAAGACTAAATAACCTTTCAATTGAAGCTGATGAAGATATTACAGTATTATATTTATGAAAAAATTTCCTTAATGGAAAGATAATAATTAAGCATTTATAATGTATTTCAACTTTCTCATAATATAATTTAAAACCTACAATTCATTGTTATTTGTATTATTGAACTCTGCAACACTTGTTTCACCAAAAAAAATATTTTCTTTAGATATTAAATCTATTGGTGTTATAGTTTGAGCTTGATTATATACTATGATACTACATTTAGGGCTTCTTTTATTAATATATTTTGAAAGTATTCTTTAATTCATATCTTAAAATATTGATGTTATATTGATATCAAAAAAAGCCTCATTATATTCAAATTATTGGAAAATATTTTCTTAAATTTTGTCCATACCATCTTAAGCTTGAATTTTTAAGAAAACCTATGCTCCTTATAGCCACATATAAATAATATATTTTTAATATGTTTAACAAAATTTGTGTTTAACCCTTTATCATTTTTATGTTTATACAGATTTTATATCCAGCCTTTTTAACTTTTATTTAAAAAAAATTTCCATTTAAAATGTTAAGATTAGGATTTGATTCATGGGAACTTATTTCCATAACCTAAATTTCACAACCTTCTTCTTCACTACCATCCTGCAAATTAAAATATATTACATAAAATTGGTAATGATATTCTGTTCGCTACAAAATCCAAAGACCCTTTTCATGGTCATTTAAACAATCAAATTATATTACTTTAACGATTAACTTAACAAAACAAAATTTGTAGAAAAAGAAATACATGGATGCTTAACCCACCAACAATTCTCATTAGATATTAGCCGACGTTAAAACCCCAAGTTATTATATCTCAGAATAGCAAATCAAAGTCTTTCGAAATCAACTGAAAATTCGAACAAATACACCAATCTCCCCCCGCCCTCTCCATTCTTTACTTAAAACCAATATATCATTTTACAAATAAAATATAACGCAATTTATAAAATTACCAGAATCCCTTATCTAAATTATATTTTTCCCCTAAAAATGGTAAATCTTTATACATTATATACATTTTTATGCTAGGTGTAAAATAATCTTTTACAAACATTATATTTTCGATAAAATTTTTCTGTGATATCTTATTTATTAGAATAATATTATTGTATGGTAATATTGTAATAATGGCAATAAAAACAAAGTGGCTATTTAGGAAAAATATCAATAACAAGCATGCAAAAATTATTTAAAAAAATTAATTTATCTTACTATAACCATTAAAATGTGATCATATGTAATATATAAAAACCTATATTTGTTCTTGCAATTTTTCGAATCAATTTTTGATAGATAATATATGGAATTTAGCTTACTTTTTAAGTAATAATACAATATGATTTTAAAATATAATAAAACAAAAAATAATATAAATTTTTTTTATAAAATAATAATACGCCATCTTGCGGATTTAATATTATTGAAATTTAAAATTTACATAACGATTTATTATGAGATAAAAGATAATTCAACTATTAATGTATATTTCTTTATTATTGAATATATCTAAAAATTTAATTTTTTATAAGTTATTTATATTATAGGAAAATGGATCTCACTACAAATAGATAATATATAAAAAAATTTACCTAAGCATTTGCAGTTTACCTTAGCATTTGCAGTTTAGTCAAACCCCCGATACTTATAATATAATATATTATATTTATTTTTATTTGATAATTTTATATATTTTTATATACTTGTTTTAATATTTTAGTAATTTATCATTTTTTAAATAAATAAAAAGATTGATTATTTATAAAATAGAATACATTGCCGAAATAACCAATTCACCCGGCCTACCTCTATATCAAATTGCCAAAAATAACACATTTAGGCTAACATATATAAAAAATTTAATTATAAGAAGAATCAAAAATGGGTAAGAGAAATACAAAAAGAAAGATAATAATGAGATTGAATATATAAAACTCTACTAAAAGGAATAAAGATATATTTCAATCCTCTAGCTAGTCTGGATTTACAGATTAGCCAAGCCTCTAACTATTTTGTAAACTAGTTAAGTTTATATATTGAATTTGGGGATTTAGAAAGTTTGAATTTTTTTAAAATTTGTATATTTTTATTGTTTTGAATAATTAAAACCATTTGAAATGAAGGCCGAAATTTAAACAATTAATATTTTAATATCAATATATTATTTGCTTTAAACTATCCCAGAATATAAAAAACCAATGATAAAGGCTATCAATGGAGATGTGCACGGTAAGGTCCAAAAATTTCTCGATGTTCTTCTTAGCGTAATTTAATAATTTTGATATTCACATTAAAAAAATTTAAAAATATATCTAATTTATTATATAGTGCAATTTATGAACTATTTGAGAATAATTAAATTAGCCCTAGTCCTTTTGTAATTTAGAAGTTTTATCATTAGTTTCCTGAAAAATTATATAAAATATAATGCATCTTTAAAACTTTATGACAATTTTTATAAAATTTCAAATTTATTATGAATTTCATCGATTCAAAAAAATTAAAATTACATTCTTAAGAATCCACTTAGACTTTAAAATAATGATTAAATAATAGATTTTATTGATTAATAAAATCTTTTAAGATCTAATTCTTAATACAAAAGCAATCCATGATAATTTAAAAAAATTTCGTAGCTACTTCCTGAAAATTGTAAGGACTGGGAAACATTAAATATATTAATTATATCAAACACCAGACATTAATTAGGTAACAATTTATCTTAAAACAACATTTTATACAAAGGGATTTATACATTTTATAAAATCGGGGAATTTAACTTAAAATAAATTAAACTTTTATAAACAAAATATGTATACTATTCCACAACACTAATCAATTTTATAAACTTAGAGTTTTCTTAATGATTACAATTTTAAGCACTCTAATTCAAAATCAATAAATATCGAAAGTATATTAAAAATATAATTATAAGCCTGATCGGGACTCCTCAAATCAAGTGAATGCCGAGAGTGCCTTAAAAGCAGCACAAGTAGGTTATATTATAATTTAAAAAAATATTTAAGAAGTTTATAACTGATTTAACCTGTATCCTATATCAATTTTTAACCCCCACCCTGCTTTCTATATAATAATTACTGTAAGTAGTCATGGACTTATAAATCACTTTATCTGATTTTATCTCAACATTGTTTTGATTTCTCAATGAGACAAATCTCATATCTATCATACTGACAAGTAATACGTATTTCTAATATCTCTCTAGGACATTTTCACATTCTTTATCAATCTTGTAATTATTATTTATTTTTGTTATATAACTATCTGTCGTTTGGATTTTTTTACTTTTTCTAATTATAATTCTCTCTTTTTTTTCTGTTAATTTTGAGGAATTAATGTATCGGAGCGATTCTATAACTGACTTAGGAGGTGTAGAAGTGCCTGGATAATACTAAGCAAATTTCATGGAGAGCATGCCCTATTATTGTTCGAGTTACATTTAAAATTGAGTCCCATTAGTTCTATAAATATAAAATTAAAATATAATTAATATGATCTCATATGACATGCCAGCAATTTAATTGTTTGAAAAATATTGATACAATTATTTGATTAGACTTTATCCTCCGGTAGTCGCATTTCAAAATTACTAGGATCCAAGACAGATGCCTACATAAATATTCTCGGCCGATCTAATCCGGAACAGCTAAAATTAGTTTTTGATCAATTTCAGAGATTAACAAAAAGAAGCATCGAGGAAGACATCAAAAAGAATACTGTGGGAAAATTTCAGAAATCTTTACTAACAATGGGTATAATAATTTCTGAATACTTAAATGATTTAGTCAAGATTAAAAAATAATATAAATTAATCATCTTAATTATAGAACATTTTATTTTTTGGGTAGAACTCCATTTTTGAAAATTTATATGAAAATATAATTTAATAGAAATAAGGAATCGGAATATATATACATAAATGTAGTAAATTGAGATTTCTTATATAGATTTTATACATTGTAATCTAAATGTCTATTATAGACGCATATGCAATAAGGGGGGGGGGCAGGAAAACCCCCATATATTCTTCAAAAATATTATTGTTTATATTAATTTATATTTTATAATATTTATTCCTATCTCTTTCTTTTTAAATATATATTTAAGTTCACATTTATTTACTAAGTTATTTATCAATTAATTTCGATTTCTAGTTTTCCTTGGCGTAATATTTATCTATCATTTTCAAATTTCTAGTCAAATAATAATTATGATATAAGAATTTTTAAACATATTGATGATGATGAAAATTCTAGTCATCTTACAAAAAAGCAAAATAGTACAAAAATTTTTATAACATTTTATAATTGTGCCCTGTTTGGCCCAAAATATGCTGGAATAAATTTAGTTAAGCTTAACAGTCTTGTTAAGACTCGATTCAACAAGTACAAAGATGCTGGATAAATCTTTGACAATCATCAAAAAGCAAATTATCACAAAAGCTATGAACCGGATTTCTTCAAATTTTCAAAGTAGGGATATAATTCCCATTTCATCACATATTGACAAAAATAGGATTAAAATAGCAAAAGAAAATAGAAGCAAGATTAAACTAGCTATTGAGGCATTCTATATTGTAGATTGCAGGGCCTAGTATTATGTGGCAATTGGATTCAGGAAGTTTGAACTTCAATTATAATGATAATGAAGGTTATTATCGTGGTTTTGTAAAATTTAAAGCATTCGGGGATTCTGCATTAATGGAATACCCCAAGCGACAGAATATTTTAAACAAAATTATTTCTGAAACTCCTTGTCCAACAAGGAGAAAGAAATTGCAAAAAGCTTGTCCAATGAGATGAAGTCTTAGACATCAAGCAGTGAGTCGATGAGAATAGCGGAGAGTATTTTATTAGAACTCATGGCTAATGTTGATGAAGAATTTCATATTTTCTATGTTAATGTTGAGTCAAAAGCAGAGCTATACGAGTTTGATATTTGTCCCTCGACTTGCAGCAAGGCATACTCATCGTCCAAACATTAATATAGGGTCAGTATAATTAGAATAGTATTATATAATAAATGTCTTTATCTTTCTCTTAGATATACATTTATAAACCAAATAAATAAACAGTTTTTAATTTATCAGGCAGCACTTAACAATCTGAAGATATTACTTCCACAAAAGCCTTCCCACCCTCTTCAAATGGTGATAGAAAAAAAATAATAATATTTAGCAAATTTTTATCATGAAGATGTTAAAGTATTTTATGATAACCAACTATGGTATAAAAGATTAACTATGGTTGATATAGTCCCAAAAAATGTTATGGATGCTTTGTATTATTTCAAAAATCTTTTAGATTATTTTCCCAATATTAAAATTATTATATATATATTAACAACTCTTCCCATTAGTATTAGTACTGCAACTAATGAGAGAACATTTTCTTCTTTAAGAAGAATAAAAACATACCGAAGTACAACTTCTGAAAGTAGATCAAATGGTTTGGCCCTTTTGAATATTCATAAGCATTTGACGCCAAGCACGGATGAGAAAATTGAAAAATTAGCTCAATTTCAACGAAGATTAGATTTTACTTTATCTATTATAATAGTTCTCAAAAAACGTCAATCATATTTAGCCAATAGTATTTTTTAAAAAAATATTCGTCCAATGATAATCTAATCATTAGCAATTTTAATTCAATAGAAATTCTCATGTGATTTACAGATATGGTGAATATATTCAACACAAGATGCCATATCGATATCAGAAGATGTTAAGATATTGGTTATATTTGCCATTATTTCTTACATTTTTCAAAAGTATATTTTTTAACAAATAATTTTTGTGCATTATTTTATCATGAATTTTGTTTTTTTTAAATCAAGGCTTATACCAAAATATATGTTGCTGAACACCAAAATAAACACTATTTATAATATTGGAGAGTGGTTAAATTAAAAACATTATATTTTATGAATTATCACTTCTATAAAATATCAGAATTCAGCAAATATATATATAAAAAGGTCAGACAACTTTAGTAAAAAATTGAAATTAGGCCAAGCAAAACTTGGGATGGGCATTAACTAAATTCCCATTGGGCCTAAAAATTTTGTCATTTGCATACCTCTAGTGGTAAATGCATAGGAAAATAAAAGTGGCAGACACATCATTTATAATGGATTCCTTGGCATAGGTAAAATCCATTATGATCTGCTGTTTTCGATGTCATGCTGACTAGAGGTTGCATTGGGCAGGTTTAGGTGCACCTGCCTGTTCATTTATTAAGAAAGTTTTTTTAATTTGCCTGTCCAATGCTTAAAAATTATTATAAGGGTTGATTTGGCTCTTTATATATTATTTTAATGTTTTTTACTTAAATTTAATAGAAATCAGTTGCTTATTTTGCCTGAAATTATTTAAAATTCACCTGCCCAATGTTTTAAAAATATTTTTAACCCTCCACTCACCAACCCGATATCTTTCGTATATCCAAAAAATAGACAAGTTTAAATTAAGAAAAACCTTCATCTACCAAGAATAAATTTTTTACATTTTAAATGGCAAATAAATGTATAAAAATTAAAGTAGGAATATTTTTTTTATTAAGCACATAAATATAATTTTTACAGATTTTCCCGAAATTAATTTAATGAAGATTCATATGTTCTAAAGATATATTTATATTGAAGGTAATAAATATATTAGAGACCCGTAGGTACCATTTGAACAGCCTACCCTGGATTTTTTAAAATATATTATATTTATTTTCAATTTTTATAGATAATAATGGCTTTAAAATTGTCATAATGGAAGCAGATTTTGGATTTGGACTTATTAAGAATGAGGTTCAAGAGATTGAAAACCAATTATTTTAGGAAAAGCATAGATTGTTCCATCATCAAGATACCAAATATATATCCAAATCAAATTTAGATTTAAGATAATGGAATGAGATCATGAATACCAAGGTAAAATAAATGAGGACGTGTGCCGCCTGCTGGATCCTTTTATCAAAATCTATGACACTTGGGCTGAATAATGGAGAGTTTTAATGTTATAATATGTCTTTAGGAATATTGAATAATCTAGAAATTTGGGATAAAAACAATTTATGAAATGTTCGCGATTGCTATTGAAAGCATTTTTAAAGTATACTTTGGTAATAGGTATGTTAGGAGGAGGAATTTGGACATAATACAAATGGCATGAGAAGCTATTTTGCCTTCTCCCTTAACACCAAGTCCTACTTGGAATTTATTTTTGCTAATAATTTTCTAAATAACCCATTGCAATGGGGTGGATACCATCATAGTATTTGTGAGATAATCAGGTTTGCCCCCATAATTGATTTCCTATGATGGCAGGTCTTGTTTTAAAAGAGTATTTAGGAAGGCTTTAAAAACTTATAAATGATTCTTTGAGATGAGTGTAGATTTTATAAGAAGTGAGAGAACAAAAACTATTGTGTCTGGGTAAAATATTTGTTACAAATATCATAACTTACAAATCATATTTTTTTATTCCATATTTTCCATAATATATTTGGCCTTTTCTCTAAAAATTTCTCGAAATCTTGGAAGAATGAATATGGATAATCTATTCCTCTCATTTGATTATTTATTAAAGAAAAGATTCTTTCAACGTTGGCATTATGAACGATATAGATAAAAATAAAGCCTGTTATAATAGCAGTCCACTATATTGTTGAATGCAAAATTGGTTGAACAACTTTGACTCATGAAACATTTTTATTTTTTATAAAAATCTATAGACTTTTCTAAATCTGACTACTTGTGAACATATTTAAATTCCATCCATTTGAAACATTCCATTCTTCTAGAGGGTCTGACTAAATTGCAAAATATAAAATTCTAAGTCTATACATTCAATAAATTATTTTTCATTGGATTTATATAATTTTTTTTGTCCATTTTTAATTTTTTTTGTCCATTTTTAATTTTTTTTGTCCATTTTTAATTTTTTTAATCCATTTTTAACATCTGTTTCAAATGTTGCTTGAAAATAAGTTATACTCTCAACTAGCAAGAATATATTTTTTAGATTACAAATTACAAATACAAATGGATAAGAAAATATTTTAAAAATTTTTGATAGTGCACATAAATTAAAATTATTAACCATATACTTCATAAATTTTATACCAAATAATGTAAAATTTTAGAATAATCCCTCATCTAAAAGATATAAATTTCTAAATCAACCTCTTCATCATTGTTAAATAAAGGTAAAATTTATTATTTATCCATCATTGAAAGGAGAAAATTCTGATTCCTCGACGGGTTATCAGCTATCAAATATATAATAGGCTTCTTAATAATATTATTTGTGCACATTTATTTTTTAAAGTGTTATATATTTTTTCATGAATACCTTATAAGTTATTACATACAAAATACAATTATTCCTAAGAAACTTGTTTATTAATTTACATTTCCAACATTTAAATTTTTTATTTTTATTTTGGGTCATTTTTATAGTGATTCATATGCTGGTATATCCCCTTAATATTTTATAATTCACATTTATTTAAAATTTTTTCTTATGCCGACGGCTTTATCCGTTTAATATTTTTTAATTCAAATTTATTTTATAGTTTTTTATATGCCAGTTTATATATTTAATTTTTTATAATTCATATTAATTTTATTA